CGTACTAACAACACAGGTATTAGCTAAAAGCCCAGACACGCGTGTTTCGCCGATCTTTTGCCGCTGCCTGACGCAGCTGCGAGGGGTTCGGCTCGTCAGTGGGTCCCCCAGCTTTCCCCGTGTGTTTTCTGGTATATGAACTCCAGTTTCAACTTGCCTTGCTTAATTTCCTCGGAAATTAAGCAAGGCTAAGCTATAACTATCGGTATCATCTTATTGGTGTCTGCCAATTAAATGTATTCCCTAATCTATTTTAACCCACCTGTGAAAACTTCGGCGATCTCGGCGGGGTTCTTACCCCACGACAAGACTGTTGAGGCTTGAGTACAGCCAACGCTCAGAGCCAGTTGGGCTTCGAGGCCCTACTGGGAGCTGTACATTAAGTTGCCCGCCCATCCTACCGCAACGTACGGAATTCGCCAAATCAGATAGAGAATGCTGACTGTCTAAGCCTCGTATGTTTGCGTAAAAGAGCCGTACCAGCGACGAAGTCGGCACTATCGGAGGAACTTTCACGGCCACCTCTATACACACCCTGTGTACATTTTCAGTAGTATAGTAGGGATTTTGTTTTCTTTTAATAAGCTTATATTGACTGTCGTTAACGGGCGCCAATGACGGCATTTAGTGCAAGAGGTCTTTTCCCATTTTTCCACTGAATGTTCTCATCAAATTGTATCATGGTGTACGACAACGCTCTCTCAGTTGAGGAAGGACACACATCCTGGTCATTTAACCGATATCAGGGGGATTTATCGAGTTATGCGGGATTCCAGCAACCTTTTGAGGCTACTCCGTATTTTACTGCGAGCCGGCAAGTTTTTAAGACTGGACTTTGTGCGCGAAACCATTTTACTGCATATTTTGTGCGCTAAAAATTACCTTAAAAAGGCTGGCCTCTTCTGAGCTTCAATTAAATATTTATCTTATCTCTCAATGATGCACGATTCGGTCAACTTTTGGTCCTGCAGCCGAACTTGGGGAATATCATACTGTTGACCTACTGAATTGTTTTGAGTAGGCGTGGTTATGTTGAAATGATACTCTTTGACATTTGCATTTGACACTGCATTTACTATGTACGCCAAGGGCACTGTTCAAACCAAGCATTCACTGTACTTGCACCCAGTTCCCGTTCTGTTTGTCCTCTCCTTCTTTTATAATCCAGCGAGTGGCCAGGCTAAGTACGTCAAAGGCACGGTTTAGGTCAAGTGCTCAGTGCACTTCCATCCCCCGCCCCCCTTTCCACTTGCCCGGTCCTTCTTGCCTAATCCAGCTAGTGGCTAGACCAAGTACGTCAAAGGCACAGGAGGAAATTCGTTGACTTTATCAAGAAAATTTCGCTTTTGCAGTACATTCAGTAGACAAATTAAATGGCGTGCAGGTGCGCGGCCTTGTTCGTGGGTTGAAATTGCGTTCAACATTACCTTTGCATTTCAACATGTTGACTTTTCGCCTGCTATTTTGTCTAAATTGTCATTATCATTATTACAGAGCAACTTAAAAAACGTAGCACCTTACACTTGCCCCTACCTATCTTACCATTTTACTGCTTTCCCTTGGGCGTGTCCAAATGCCCCACGCGTATAACCCCTATTTTACCATCATTCCCGTATTACAGACAGTCGAGGTTCATCCATTTCCAGTGTTGGCTGCAGGACCAAACCCGACCAACGATTCTCATAGATATCCACCCCTGTTGACCAGTTCTGACCGGTATTTAGTCAACCAGTTCCAAACACGCAAATTTCGGGTCTGGTTGTCAATTTATCGACCGAATCTTCGTTGTGGCAGGTTTTTCTCAAGAACTCTACTCTGTCTACCTATAGCAATTATTGCTGTCTTGGGTCCTCAAGTGGCATCCCAATTCGGTCCATTGTTGTTAGCTCTTTGGTGTTCATATCGCAGGCTGTGGTACTTGCGGGGAGTAACCCGACTACTCAGCTTTCATTGCCAGTGTCACGGGTTCCTACTTTTTTAGGTTTGCACCCGTTGATAATTCATATGAGCTTTCCGGATGGTTCTGTGGTAACGATATGTGAATGTCTTGGTTTAATCTGTTAGTGATCTTTCCAGTATTTCCACCTGAACCCTACAACGTCGCTTGTACCAACTTCAGTTTCTCTGTTTTGTGGTTATATCGTGCAGGTCGTTCACGCCAGTGAAGGAAATCTCCGTCTGACAGTATGCGACGGTATCGACCCGTTGACTTTTCTGCGGAAAGCCACTGAACTCTTCCGTCTGGCTGAATCGCAATCAGCTGACACCGCCCCTACTGTGACTCCGGTTCAAACTTGTAATCTCATTGACCTTGACTCTCCGCCGGAAGAGCGTGTGAAGCCCTTAGAGGTAGGCGGTCCTTGCTGCTCCAACCTTTTTCGTCCACTTGCCTATTCTGCACTCAACTCTCTTTTTTTCTCGTAAGCCACATGATTTCTGTTCTCGAATTCTCGCACTGTTTTCGTTAGCTCTAGGGGCTTGCAGTTTTACAGTATGTTTTCTATCAGAAATTAATTGCAAGTGCGGCTACTGTGCGTCTGTTTTCGGCTGTCTGTGTGTGCCTTCGAAATGTCAGTCGCTTTCCAAAGCCTTCCGTATTCCTCTGCAATGCCTCTTGTTCTTAACTTTGCCGATGTCTTGCCGCGGCTGCCCAGTGGCTGCTGTTTTCCCTGAAATGCCATTTCACCTTCTCCCACATAAAGTGGACGCTAGATTTGGGAAGGCGTGGGTTGCCTCTCTCATATTCTACGTCAGCTGTGATTTCGGGGTCAGATGTAAATTCCAACACCTGTGTTCCTGTGGATTTATATGTGCCTACTTAGGTCCTGTCTGTATATACCCGGGGAATGAGCAAGAGTCGGGTATCTTAAGTTGACGTAGAAGGTTTCAACACCCTAAAAGCACACTTGGTCGAATACAGTCCCCGATAAACGGGATGTTCCCAACTCGGATTTTGAGGGACAGTTTGTCAGCAAAAATGAGCATTCTAGCAGTATAGGGATTAGTCAGGAGAATTATTGTACACACGAGCTATGGATGCGTAACCGGGAGAGCCATTCAACGAGGGTCAGGTTGTCGATTTGCATCGAACTAACCGTGATCAGTCATCGTCAGCTGCCTAACGCACGAGCCCACAAACCACGTGTGAGGTCTCAAAGACTTTACTCTTTTGAGCATAAACGTAATTTTCGTAGTTTGCTGCCGAAGAACCAGACAGTACGTGTGTAGATAAAAACTGTGTCACGTTCTTGTGTCCTTGCTTTTTTATCACAAAATCACCCAAATAGTAGCATGTTCTTAGGCCCAACCACATACCGGCGGTTGCCCTCCTCCTCCATTTTCTGTCAAACACCTTTTCTTTTGACTGCATTTGTCGATGCGTTCGACTGCTGATTCCCGAGGTTCACACCGTTTCCGCCTTAAATTAATGGAGCTCCGCTATCCCATTTTCCCAATCATGCACCTTAAAGTACCCTCTTTAGTTATGGCTGCCCGGCCGACTTGTCGGCTCTCCACGCGTTATTTCGTGTATTATCTTCTTTCCCCTTGTCTGTGCACCGCCGTTTCTCTCAGCTTCACCAGATTTCCGAGTTGACCTCAATTCAATGATGCCAGACGCCCATTCGTGCGTGTGTACGTGTGAGCATATCCTCTGTCTTTCGCCAACACACCTCTGCCGCTGCTGTAAGTTTCCTTCCACCGCTGGTCTTAGGGTGCACCGCTACTGTACCTGTGTCCGCATGTTGTCTTCTCTGGCATTGTTCTTTGCTGG